TATAATTTAACATAATTATTTTATTTTTACATTTTATGTATAAAAATATATTTCTACCTTTTGGGCTCTCAAATTTTCTGTGGAATAGGGCCAAACGTAAACTGAATATTTAAAGAAAGCATTAGCTAGCTAGTAAATCCGAGTCATGTTTACACTTTTATTGTCAAGCTTAATCTTTGTTTAAGATCGATCATTTGCCCTTTTTGAAGCCATAAATAAAATTTGGCTTTATCAAAAGGATGTTTTATGTTCCTAGAATCTGTATTTCACAGTCAGCTCTTTCTCATATTGATACCTGGAAAGGAAGTATTATTAAGGAAGCAGAGTACATTAGACATGAGTGTTAGCTTTGAGGTTAGAAAGATCTGGGTGTGAATTCTAGCTAGGGGGCAGGGGAACAAACTATATCTGAGATAAGTCCCTTTACTTCTCTAAGTCTTTGTCGTCCTATCTGTAAAAACAAGATAATCATACCTACCCGCTTTGAGAAGCTATTAAAGGGCAGATGTTAATCTCCAACTTTGTGGGTTAAATAAGTTATTTAACTATTCTGTGCTTAAGTTTCCTCATCTATAAAATGGGAATAATAGGATACTTAGTATATAAGGCTTCTGTGAACATTAACTGAATGAATTCATATAAAGCACCTAGAACAATAAGAGTAATCAAAAATATTATCATTATACGGTTGTTGAGAAGATTAGATTAGATATTTTCCCTAAAGTTCTGGAACACAGAAGAGGGGTGCAAACAGAAGACCCCAGTACAATCTACCCCTCAGCATCCACTGTATGCCCCAGAAAAGGGGATGCAATGGAGTCCCATCAGGTACTACAGTATCACCAGGTGATGTCAATTTGATCATACTCCCACCTGAAACCTAGTACATTAACCACCATTAGGATTCCTAAGTAAGATAGAGAAGGAAATGAGGAGAAAAGAAGAGAAATATAAAACATAGCTGCTACAATTCCCGCCTCTATAGCTGTCCTGAGTCCGCAGTTGATCACAGATACCCTCTGTCACCACTCATTACTTGTTCCCCCTTGCCTCTGCCAACACTCTGGCTTCAGGGGGTGCTTTACCTGATGGAATTGCCCAGATGTTCACTCCTGAGGGATCTGGGTCCATAGCTGATCTTATCTTAACGGGGTTTTTAGAATTTTCCACTGACCAGGACTATTATGAATTTTAAGAAGTAAAGCGAGTGAATTCCCTGAGTTTCAAAGCCCTTTTTGTCCTCATCAGGAAGAATGAACCCAATTCCTTCTTGGGAATCAGGATACTCATCCTGGCTACCCTGACCCCTTCCTGTGCCTATCAATTCAGTGACACAAGGAATCCCAAAATGGTTAGAGGGCAGCCTCAACTTCCAACATTCCCTAAGGAAAGGACTCTTCTGTTCGGCACTGGACTCTCCAAATTCAGCAAACCAAGGTCACAGGGAAAGAGCGTAACAATATTCCAGTGGGTTATTAGGTAGTGAGAGGGGCCACTCTAGTCTCTACTCCTTTGTTCCCAGACTCACGCATCCTGCTGTATGGGAACAGCACCGTATTTGCTGCTGGCTTAAGACATTTATTGCATCCTAGAGGACACCACTCCCACTTTGCAAGGTGTCGTTTCCCCGATGTCACAGGAATTGAGCCTTTAACAGGCCACTCCTGTGTCCTAGCAAGCCAGCTTCTTCTGAGTTACGGGACACGTGGTAAGAGCATTCAGAGAACCACTGAGCAAGGACCAGTGGAACTAAGAAAAGGTTAACTGACTCCACAAAATGGATCATCTTGGAGACTTTTGGTTACATCTTCTCATTCTCTCCCCATTCCAAGAGTTTCAAGCACATTCCTCTCCACCAGATCTTCCACCAGTCTCCCAGTCTTGTTCTTTCCACAACCCCGACCAGCAGGCCAACTTTTTTGCCATTGCCTACGAGTCACCGTAGATCAGTGCCTCAGATTATTTTCCCTAGTGAAGTGAACAAACTGCTGTACTTCTTGAAGTACAGAAAGAATTTCTTTTTAATACAATCTTTCAGGCTACCTCTGAAAGAGGTCATAGTACAATGGCTGTTAATTTCCTGTTCATGTGGACTCAGGATGCAGATCTATCTGTAAATCAGCCTCAATGGGAAATTCCTCTTGGGGCCTCTGGTGTGAGTGGAAGGAGAAGGAGGAAGAATGGGAGCCACGTGAACATGACGCCTGCTCATGAAGTTTTCTTGGGCTCACTTTCATGCATACCACTTCCAAATTATGATGGGTTACTGCTGTGCATGCCCAGTTTCTTGGTTCAGTGAATCAGGTAACACTCAGCTCACAACAGGCAGTTTGGATCGCATAAATATCTCACGGTCCGTGGATGAAGCATTCAGTCTTCACCAGTAGCAAGCCAGGAACTACTTTTCCCAGTCAAAAATAGTTATCAGCACAGGCTCAAGTCACAGCTCCAAATTTCTGGAGGTCTGTGCTGTGTTCTCATATTGGGACTTTTAGAAGCCTCATCAAGCCAACATTTTGCCCTTCATCCCAGGCACCAGTGATAACGTGAGTGATTGATAATTGGTAATTGATTGATAATTGATAATATTCCTCCCAGCAATAAGGCTGGACCTCTAACTATATGACCAAATAAATCCCAGATCCAATTTCAACTCTGTTTCCTAAAGCCACTTCTGATACCAATGACTGTATCAGTGTTAGGGCTCCAACACAAAACATGACATACTTAAATTTGAATAATTTTTAAAGGGTTTATTTACAAGGAGACTAATTACAAAGGTGTGGAAGAGGGTAAAGTAATCATAAAGAATGTGCAGAAGCCTGGATCCCACCATGGTGGAACTGTCACCATCCCTAGGTCCAAAAGGATTAGGAAAGTGAGAGAGAGTTAAGTAGAGCAGAGATCACTTTACAGGAGCAATGATCTGCTGTTGAGGGACACGGCCAGCTCAAGGCCCCCACAACTTCCTTCCAGGGCTCCCCATGTGTGTAATGCAAACAGAAGCCAGAGGGCTTGGAAGCTTATTGAACCAAGCCCTACAGTCTGCTTTTCCAGGGTAGAGTACAGGGTGGATAAGAATGAATCCCAGAGGCTGGGCTCGCTGAGCCATCATGGAGGCTGGCTACCACATTTAATCCCTACAGGTCATCCTTTCTGGGTAGAATAGGGTGGGTGAAAATAAAGATTTCCAGCACAGCAATCAATATTTATTGATTCCTTTTCCTTTCACAGAAGTTAACCTTCAAAACCTAGATTCATGCATTAGTTATTTGCCTTTCTCTGATTTGGACATGGCCATTGCTCAGTCTTTGGGCTACAGACATGTTGCTGGTCCAGTGGTACACATCTCATTTCTACCCTGGAGATACAATTCCGGCTCAAGTCCAGGCAAAGATTAATCTCTGCTCCTACTGCTGTTTCATCACCTACCCTTGATGTAATAACTTTCTTTCCTAGCCTGTACCAAGAAACTACCCATTTTCCAACCCAAAGTTGATTTCTGGAGACTATTTAGAGTCCCCAAATCTTCACTACCTTGTATATTATTAGGTTTTTGTTGTTCAAGTGCTTCTGACTGTCAGTTTTCATCTGGTGGCCTCTGCGTGAGCAAACTGCCAAAAACACTCCCCAGAAAGAAGTTACATCAGCACTTGGTGGCTTTGTCTACTTTGGCAGGAGTGGGTCTAATTTACATTCTTACCAGTTTACTCCAGTGCTGTATTGGAGCCCCATACAGATATGCATCTATGCAGGCCAAGAAATGCAAAGGCAAATGTAGGTTACACAAGTGAGCGAAGCAGGTCAGAGTATGGTGTTGATTGTGCCAAAAATGCTGTGTCAAAGCCACAGGTAGAGGTATTCAAATTCAAAAAATTTGTAAATACTCCTACTCTCTCCTACATAACCATTTTTTCTCCTCTCTACTGGATCATTCCTAATACCATATAAATAAACTGTTACTTCACCCATTAAAAACAAAACAAAATACTCTTGATCTTATTTCTTCCATCAGCTTTGCCCCTCATTTTCAGTAACATCTAGAAATGAGTAGTCTCTACTTGCTGCATCCAATTCTTCCCCTCCCACTTTCTCTTAACCCATTCCAGCCAAGCTTTTGTCCCTCCTACTTCCCCAAACTGCTCGTTAGGGTCACCAGTGTGTCGTATGCACTGCTATAAACGATGGTCAATTCTAGAGCCGCATCCTACCTGAGCCCTCAGCAGCATTTGACACCATGTCCTCCAGGTTTTCCTGCTTCTCGGTCTCCTTTGCTGCTTTCTTCTCTTCCTCCCTCACCTCTTAAGCTGGGTCTAATGCTAGACTGCCCCAAAGCCCCTGATTTCTTTTTTCTGTCTCGTTCACTCCCTTATCTCACTCCTTCCTGTGTCTTAAAAACCACTGATCTGCTGATGACACCCAAATGTTCACCTCTAGCCCAGCTCCAGTGAC